CCCCCCCCCACCCGGCAACGGACGGATGGTTAGTATCTCGCCGGTTTTTCGCGATCGAATCGCTACCAGCTCTTGCGCGATTCACGGCGCGGATTGCGGTATAATTTCGCGCGGAGTCACGTTTCGGCGCGGTTCGCCCCGAGACCGTGGCGGACCATGTGGTCTCTAATGCGCGCGTTCGAGAAATTGGCAGCTTGCGCCTCCGCTCGCGCGCGCCGCCTCCTGCGCGCTCCACTGCGTCGGGGATACGCGCTGAATTACAGCGGTTTTACTATTCCGCTCGGCCGCCGCCAGGAACTCGTCGGAACCGTGTAAACAAGCGGCGCACACCGCTATATGCTCCTACCTGCCGTCGCGCAGTCTTGATGAGGCGAAGTTGGCGGCCGTTGTTGTCCCGAAACGTCCACCGACGTAATTTTCCCCAAGTCAATTTTCCGTCCTCTTATCTCGCGCCTGTCGCGTACAATCGTGGATTCAGTAAGAATAGCGGCCACCGCGCTCTCCGTTTGGAATTTCCTTCGTAGGGAATTTCTCGCGACCTAATCGGGAAGTCCGATTTCCCAGAGTAACGATAGATTCTAGCTGGGAAGTTCAGACGCAGGCGTAGCTAATCAGCATCGCAGATAGGAAGCTTCGCCTCATCTTTGAGGTAGGAATGGGATAACCTATTGTGGGAGAACTTTGGGTGTTCTAATCGGGGTATGTGCTATATATGGGAAAATCTGGGAAAATCTCTCCACGGCTGCCGAATCTCGCTGCGTTTTTAATCGGCGATCGAGCGAATATCAACGATCGAAGATCCGATGATTCTTGAAGCGACTTGTACTTTCGTCCGGATCGATCGTATTGTGAAGTAAACGTTTGCACGTCGGCCACGTATACGCCACGTGATTAATGCCCACGGGGTTAATTAATGCACTTCACCTCTCTCTTCTCCGCGCGTCAGGCAATTAACAAGCCGCGGAAATTTTCTTTCCCCCATGACACACACGGGGACTTTAATTCCCTTCACGGACAGCACGGAAGCGGCTCGCTGCCGTTACATTCTTCTCCGTACACGAGGAAGTTTCGCATAGCCTATAATATTTCCGTCAGAGATTCTTAAGTAATATATCCACAACAACGGCTCCGAACAATACGTTCTCACATAAAGTACGAGAGCTGTTCGCCGCAGTCTCCCCCTTTCCCCTGCCCTCCGTTTAATAAAACGCATCCGAGACTCAACTAGCGCGATGCTTAATCTCGAAGGTTAAAAAGTCGCGAGGGGGAACGGTCTTCCTTGAAATTCCCTTTCCGCGTGCCGTTATTTGAAAACTAATTTCACACATCGCTGTACAGAAATTTTATATAAGGAATTTGATAAGTTACATAATTTCGTAACAATATTTTTCGAGAGAATCGGTAAGAAACTGATGAAATATTGATTAGACAAACGTAGCGCGTGCTTAGTTTACGCTTAATAAGGGGTGATCCGGTTCGTGGATGGTTACGGAATACGGTGATCCAACTGGGAGTCGCCGGGTCGATAAAGGGATAAGAGAAGCTGCTTGCGATCTCGAAAGCAGCTCCGCTGTGTCTGCCGCGCGATCGCGCGCGGCGACCTGGAATTTTCCACGTGGGACCGTTTCGACTCGGTGCAGCGTGGCGCGACGATGTCGCGATGTCGGGACAGTCGCGAAGTGGGCTAAGCGCGACCCACATGCGCGGGTCGTCGTCGTCGTCGTCAGCGAAGGCGACGCATTTGAGGTCGCGGCCGATGAGCAACGAGCGCTTCCGGTCGGTGCGCGAGTGAAGAAAGGCGGCTGCGACGTCGGTTGCGGGGATTTTACGGTGGCAAACACGATTGAATTCTTCGTGATCGTAGGAGGGACACGAGTCGACTTTACCATGAATGCGTTGGATTTTTTTTTTTTTTCTTCAGAAAGTATTACACGTCAAATTCGAGTGAGATTTACACAACCCAGCTTTGAAGATCGTATAAAGGAACTTTTGTTCAGACGTACACTTGAGAATAAACGATTTAATGCAGCCCCGATGCCTTCGTAAAAATATAATTTTCAATAGAAGAAGAGGTGGTGTTATTATGACCCACATTTACATTTTATACGATATACTTTGTCAACAATCAATATTTTTAATTGAGAACTGTACGATTCCGTTCGTCAAAGTGCTGTTCTATCGAGATTGCAGACTCACAATTATGAAATATTTATTACTTAGGATTGTTATTCATAAAAAAAAAAATACGACGACGCTAATAATAAAAATATATACAATTGAATGAAGTGTTAAATAACGGGCAAAACGCTCAAACGTACGTGCATTCGTGTGATAATACATTTAAGTTTAAGAAGAATGAGGGGATATGCGTGACTAAATGCTAAAACACGATTTGAAATCAGTTTCGAAGTGTTCAAAAGTTAAAATGCTTAACAACATAAACGCCGGCTGTTACATATTGGTATATAAGTGCCACTACGTGACGGCGGGCTGCTAGATAAATGATTCCATAATCAATCGCAACAATTCGCCGCCCATAGTACAGATATTAAAAATATCTATACACCTAATACCTAAAACGGTTGTACAATACCACCCTCTCTATCATTTAAGGAGAAACTTGATTAAATTGAGAAGCCAGTTTAATTAGGAAATATCGGGAGAACTGAAAATTCTTGCGATCGACGTGATAAGCCAATTTTAGATCGCTCTGCGTAATACCGTATTTCGAATTCTCCCGCACATCCACGCGCGAAACGGAACGAAACGAGCGAACACTCTCACCGGTCGTTCCGGGATTCAGCGTCGAATTTGCATGATTCGATCAGGCACGATCGGCCAATTTGGGCGAAAGCGGCGGATGACTGTATTTCTCTCGCCGTTCAACGCGAGATCGATCGTGCTTTTTGCCGAAGCATTGTTTACTCGAGCCGCCGCTTCTCGTGCACTTTTGTACGCGGGGGCCGACCGTCAAAAAGCGAGCCGACACGCAAATTTCCACGGACCGGGTTGGGGATTGGAGGTAAGCCTAGCTCTAGAAAAAGTGAGCCGCGCTAGAGCAGAAAACCCTGACCCGGTTCGGGACGGCTCCGCGAGTGTTCTCCTTTTGACGCGAGTGAAAGAGACGATGACGACGTCGAGAGGTCACGGTGTCGTCTTCGACGCGGTTCCACGGGTTTTGACGACCGAGAAGCGCGGCGCTAGGGTCAAGGGCGACTCTTCGCTTACCTGTCCTCCCGGCCACCGGTCGGCCGCAGGTTTGTCGCCGATACGGTCGAACCGGATCGCTTATCGGGATCGATTGCCGGCGAAAGAAATCGCGAGCGGAGCGATCGAAGGTGGTCGGCATTCCGTGCATTTTAATCGCTCGATTCATAATTTTCGCGATTAGGCGCGTATCAGGTGTCGAGCCGTACGAGAGAGGTTCTTTTTATTTATCTCTCTCTCTCTCTTTATAGCTGATTCTTTATATGGTAGCGCGATTTCTGTAGCGTTAGCGCCCGCGCGCTTTTACATAGCACAATATATATATATATTTATATACATATATCGGCGATTTTATCTTGTGCAACGTATCGAGAGAGGTGTGGTGTTAATGTCTGTAGTACACGAGCGGCACTTTCAACGCGCTCGGGCAATAATATATAACGTGTTCTCGTGTAAACACGGTCTTTCTCGCGGAATACTCAGCGAATATGCGGTCAATATTGTCCCGAGGAAAATTTAACGAGATATCTCGTACGCCGTGCACGGTGGCTAATTAACGTGGAAAATTAGAGGACATATTCCATTACGTCAGCAGCTCATGTTAAGTCTCCGTGCTGAGGTTTAAAGGATTTATTTCATATTCAGCAATTCACTTGCACTCAATCTTTCTTAATCCTTAATTTCAATAAACAACGTATTCATTGGGCAACTTACTCAATTGCGGGAAGAGTATTGCATAAATATTAAACAAATAATCTGATAAAGATTAATGGATAAGTGGACAAATTAAACGGCGAACTTTCCTCTTTCATAATCATTTCATTATTTTTATATTGTCGTTGACAACTCGAGAGATTTGAATTTAAAATACTTAACAGTTTAATCTTATCATCGAAATGAGGGCGATAGGATTTGGAGGTTTAGAAGAAGTAAAAATGAAAACATTGTAATCCTCGATCGAGAACGCGTTAATTAATCGCAC